AGATTTTCTCTTAATGTGCCTCATTGAAGTGCTCTTTGGGATATCCAACTCCAAAATGGATGTCAATCATATTCTGCAATAAATTTGCTTTCTGCTTAACCGATTCTCCTGCTGTGTTGTCTAGTGTAATGAGTGGCTGAGTGGCGGACGATGGCAGCTGGAGAGACGGTTGGATGGAGGCGCCTCTGACTCCTCCTCCGTTTGGGCGGAGGAATATACAAATTCTAAAATGCATGCAAATGTGCTTTGCCACTGCTAATAATGGGCATTATCATGATGTTGATGTTGCTGCTGCTCATGGCTCTCTTGCCCCGTTCCCCTTTTCCCGTTGCTCCTTCTGCTGCCACATCTGCCGCACGACTCTACCACTCTATGTGCCACAGGCTCCTCCTCCTCCTCCTCCCACATCTGCCTCCCAACCGCTGCTTGATGAGGCACTGGATCTGTGGATGGTTGTGTGTCCGGCGGGGAAGGGGTTGGGTGACTCGATAACTATTCCATCCAGTAGTCAGCCACTCCGCTGCCACTACCCCCCACCACCAAAAAAGGGCAGACTGTCGCGTAGTTTGGCTTACAGCTCCCCCTCTATGTACCCCTCCCTACCGCAGCATGCCTCCATGGAGACTTTGTGTGTTCTCTCTCTCTCTCTCTCTATCTCCAGACATGCATTTCTCATGATGCGAAAATTTTGTTTCACTTGACATTTTGACATTTGACAGCTGGCGCAAAATTAACGCAAACTGCGCGAGGAAGGGAGCGATAGTGGGGCTGGTAAAGGGGGGAAAGAGTGTAATGGCAGAGGGGTGGGTATGAGTGGAAGGATGGAGTGACGTTGGTTTTAGGAGGTGCTAAAAATCCAATAACATTCAACGCAATCCTTTCTTCCATCCAACATTTTTCCCCCCCACAAAATTTATCATGTTCGACAAGTGGCTGAGGGTTGCTGTGGAGCAGGTGGTAGGTACTAGGGGAGGGAAGGGGGAGTGGCTTGTCGAGCAGGGATCTGTAGTCACTTGCGTGTTAAATACTGGATAATGACGGCTGGATGATGACTTAATTGAATGGCAGCTCCACAGATGGCGGAATGGAATGAAGGATGCAGGAGGCAGGAGGCAGGAGGAATCTCCCCTCCCACAGGGAAAACCACAGAGAGCAAGCGAGCAAGCGAAAGAGAGATTTTTCGGATGAGTTGGCAAATTTGAATTTGCGGGAAAATGTCAGGGAACATAAAACGAATTTCCGAAAGTGTTTTACCATGAAATGAACACTCTAATATGAACATCAGATGATACAAAATGAATTAAAAACCCTTAAATATGACATGACATTTCTGTATAACAGTTATCTACATGCATTATTATATAGTAGTCACTGTATAACACAATTCCAGCTTATCTGCTGCATCTCTTGAGCTTCTTTTCATTTGACAATTTTTCGCATCGACGCCCATAAGTAGGCTAAACTTCTTGTTTCTTTCGTCCTGCAGAAGGAGGCTCGCTTTTCCCATGCAATCTTTTGATAGAAAATAAAGCCTAAACCCCCCTAAAGAACCCCCTATCAACATATTTACATATATTACAGACAGAGCCACAATAAATCTCTCCATTCTCCGAACGGGTTATTGTTGCTGCTGGCTTTTGTTGTGTGTAGCTGCTGGAACACGTTGTCTGTCTGTCTGTCAGTCTTCCTGTCCGTCTCTGTCTCGCCCTCCCACTCTGTTTTACACATGTCGGCTGCAGCTATCATCTGTCCATTGTTGTCTCTGCCTTGACATCGCTTCTCATGTTTCCCCACATTTTCCCACCAGGGAGGAAGGGGGGGCCATGATTCGGCCTGATTTCGTGCGTTTTGTTTTTCACAGGAGTTTTCCTTAGGAGAGTAAGCTTCTTGGATAAGGGAGAAAGGAGATGGAATTTGATGAAAGGTTTCAATATGTTTTTCTATGCATGGAACATGGAATGGTCTTTGGATGTTTGGGGATCGGGCTTTGGCTTATATTCTAGGTTGAGGTTTTACTCCTCAGAAGAATTGTACGCAGCAAAATGTAAATTAATTTACACACAACATAGAAAAATGGCCAATGGCCAATATATTTAAGGCAAATTTGCACTCTGTCTGTTATCCTTTGTTCAGACGAGAACGAGTACGAGTACGAGTATATCCTTGCCCCAAGGATTTATGTTTGCCAGCTGTCAAGTGTCCAATCTCTGGAGGGAACAAGTGCAAGCAGAGAGCGAAAGAGAGAAAGAATCGAATGGCAAATGGCAAACTTTTTCCATTTTCATAGTTGCTTCTGCTGTCACATAAAATGAAAATCCAATGGAAAATGTGCATAAATATATCAAAAAAAAAAACACGACAGAGGGAGAAGGAGGAGCAGATAAGGAAGAGGAAAGAGAACGCAGAAGTAAAGAACAACAACCACAATTGACCCACAATATTTTTAGGGGCCAAAACAATTCTCGATTTGCCCTTCGAGATGCTGCTGCTGTAAGACTCCCCTGTTTATGAGGGATTTAGGGGGGGCCAAAGGAGTCAACGCTTGAGTGGAGTTAAGTTGAGTTTTTATCTCTGGAATAAGGGCTAAACAAGGGGACGAGCAGGAGTGAGCAAATAGGGCCAAGAGGAAGGTTAACAAGATGGACAAACATCAGTAGGGGGCGATGGCGATGGCGAGGGCGAGAAGACAGGATAACAAACTGCTTTGTTTGGGCAGACGGAGAGAGGACCTCCGATGGAAAAATTACGTATTTTTGGTTTGTTTTTTCTCATGTCTGGCAATGCTGTAATGCCTTCCACACTCTTCCCTCCATCCTCCCCCTCCCTTAAGTTTCCTGTGTCTCGTTTCCCCTTTGAATTGTGCAAATATTTGCGTAAACAATCCAAATGCATTATGGTTTTGTATGCAATGCCCCTTGGCTCAGGACTTTATTACCCTTGCCTTACCCTCTGGCAATGTACAGTGCGTGCCATAAGTGAAAAGCAGATTTTTCGAGAGAGCAAACAGAGATTCCACGAGATGTAGGAAATTACAGCGGTTAATCAAGGTACCAAGGGAATATCGATCAGATCAATCTTCAATGAAATATTATTGTCATACACTTGTGGAAGGTGCCTTCTATTAGTGCATACACTGCCACATATTTACACATACATATGTACATACACATTTACATATTGCTGCATTTCCATACATAGTATATCCTTAAACAAACGCTTGAAGAGCCGTCGGCGGGGCCAAATGACCCACCCAAAAGTTCTCCCATAGAATAGAAGAAAAAGCAAAGGATTGCGGAGGAGGCGCCTCCAGGATCGCAACACAGCAACACAGCATTCAAATTGAAAGTCAAAATAAACGAGGGAATTGCACTGTATGGAACCACGCCCCCTCACTCGTATAAAGGAGATGCTACCGCCTTCGACTGCCGTAGCCGCCGCCGTTGCAGCCGCCGTCTTTCTCCACAGACACCACACCACATATTGTCTTTCGTTTCCTTTGGTTGCCTACAACTTTTTGGCTTTCGGCACGTTTTGTCATTATCCATATGCTTCAGACTCCTGCAGACTCCTCCTCCTCTTCTGCCTCTTTTCATCTTCTGTACCGTATGCTGCTCTCCGTTTGCACACACTCGTACAGTCGTATGTGTGGTGCAGCAGTCGCAACCGGAAACGGAAATGAAGCACAAAAGTTCTGTACTTCTGTCGGTGTCTCTGTTTCTCCTCTCTGTAGTCTGCTGCTCCATTGGCAGCCATAATAATAGTTAGCTCTACACTTTGTTGGCCTTAACCCCTTTTCAACCCCCTGTCTGGGGCTATTGTTTAAACTGATTTTATGAGCCCCCCAAACTCTGACCATAATTTACTTAACCCCAACAAAAAAAGAGACAGAAAAAGGTCTGAAAAGTGGGAAAAATAAACCGAAAATAAAAGCCAAAAACTCATAATTCATGGCTCACACTAATTGTCCAGATGTCCGGTGTTGTCCGTGAATGTCCTGCTGGCTGGCTGGCTGGCTGTCTGTCTGTCCTGTAGGGAGTTTTAATTAAATGCAGACAGAAGAATCAGAAGGATTGCCTACTGAATGAGGGAGTGACAAGGAGCGGAGGCGTGGCGTCTGTCAGTCTCTAGATTTTGGGAATTTTATATTTATTTTGTACGTACGAGTTTTCCTGTTGCAGCGGAGGAGGGTATTATGCTTTTGGGGAGATGTTTTGAATGCCGAGAGGGAAGCATTATTGTAGAACGTTTCGATATAATAGCATACTTTCACTATAAAACGATTGCTTATCAAAGATATTCCAAGGAAAACCCAATAAATGTTCTGCAAAGAAATATTTGCTGTAGTTGAACCGTAGAAACAGTCATTGTTTTTAAGGGGTATCAAAAGTACTCTCATCGTTTCTGTTTCTATATTAATTTGTAGCTGTTTCGGAGATCTCTGAAGCCGCACAAGGAGGCGGAGGCTGGTGGCTGGAAGTGAGTGCGCGTTGAGGGTAAATCTCTGTTGGCAAAAGCGGCTTTAAATTAAGTCCTTAGCCAACTGCTGCTGGCTGTCACATTGCGCATACGTCATGTGGCACACGGGACACCCATGGAGGGAGGAGCGGAATGCAGGAGCATGGATGATGATGATGCCATTTTCTGCTCCCTTTTGTCCTCCTCTGAGCGCTGTCCAAAGCTGCAGTTGAAGGGAGTGCCCATTGCCCAGAGATTTACTATCAAGTAAATGAAGTGAAGGGAAATGCCTTAGACACTGATAAAAACAGAGAGGGGAAGGGTTAGAGGAGCGGACATCTAAATATGATAAAAGACAGAGAGAAAAAGAGTAATTAGGAGGCTTCTGGAATGAAACGTCTCGAAAGGGGTTTTTTTCAGATTTTTGGAAAATTACTTGGAAGAAAATTTACTTGATTTATAATCTTTAAACCTTTACCTCGTTTATTTTTATTTTTCTATAAGGTCCTTCAATAACTTTTCGCTTTTATTTCTTTTTTCTTCAGAACTTTTCCAGCGCTTTCGCTTCGTGAAATCGCAGAATCAACAAACGAAACGAATAAATAAATTATTTTGTGGTAAGTTTGCAGCGTAAAATCCGCTAGAGAAAATACAGTGAAAATTAGAGCAGATAAAAACAAAAGGGAAAAGTCGAAACCCAAGGGAAAACCGAAGGAAAAGCCGCAAAACTTTAAAGTCATTTGCAGTGTTTGCGAATGCCAAGGCGGCATTCGCATTCGCATTCGAAATTTCAATTAGAGAAGTTTTTTGTCGCGGAAGGGAAGGGAAGGGAAGGGAAAAAGATGGGGAGACAATGAGAATCAGAATAGTTGTTGCTCATTAAAATGAGAATTTCTCCCGGAGAGATTCGCCAACATTACACGAGTTTTTTTGGGGTTTCATTAAATCAGAGAATTCTCCGTCTCTTAATGTCTGTCTTCCTTGCCTTCCTCTTGTTTCCTCCTTTAGCTCTCCTTCTCCCACTCTTCTTTTTTATTTTCGTATGAGGGAATCCAATGTGGAGACAAGACAAATTCTCAGGCGCTCATTTAATTGATTTAATTAAATTAAATCCACTTCAAGGGAAAGAAAGAGAGAGGGTACAAGAGAAGAGAGAGAGAGAGAGAGAGAGAAAGGGAAGGGATTGGAAAAGAGTTGTCATAACGAAACATGGAACTGCATGGGAAGTTTTGGGTACGTCTCCAAGGAATGACGACCCTGGCAGAAGTTTCTCAACGAAAACTCTAACGTTGGCTCATACGCTGCAAAAGAAGAAGAAGAAGAAGGGGTGCATCAGCACAATGGAGGAGGATGCCCAGAAGCAGTATGGGGTCCTTGGAGTAGGATAAAGAGCAGCAAAAGCAACAGCAGCAGCAGCAGCAGCAGCAGCAGCAGATGTTTGTCTAACGAAGCCTGACATCTTAACCTTCTCCATCCACAGAGCCTCCCCTTTTCCCCACCGTCACCACTCATTCCTCCCCTCCCCTCCCTCTTCACCACCCTTTCCCTCGTCTAAGGAAAAACCCATCAAAACGAGAAACGAGACGAAACGAAACGAAATGCAATTCAAGCAATTTTCAATTTTCATTTCTTCGGTTTTTTTTTTTCGGGGGATAAGCCGCTCTAACGTGGGGATGCAACCGGTGCTTATCCCCTGCCACCCCAAGCAAAGGAGAAAAAACGATAACTTGTCGCGGATGCAACGCGTCTCAAAAATTCCAATCATTCATGAATGAAATGATGATGATGGTCGTCCGTCGGTCCGTCCGAGGCCAATTTTCCAGGGACTTTACGTTTCTTCTGCGTTTTTTTTTCTTGGCTGGAGTCGCGTAAGCCCTCCTCTACCCACCTCTACCCTCTTCAACCATTTCTCCAGCCTTTAGCTATGTCTTAAGATCGAGAGAGACTGAAAAGAGAGATAGAGAGAGAGAGAGACAGAGGGCGGAAGAGGCTACTAACAAAAATGGCAAAGAAAAAGCATTAAAAGTTTTGCCAAAAAGATTTTCGCCGTAGCCTCTTGGCCTGTGCCTCCTCTCTTGGCGAATCCTCCAGCGCTCCTTCTGCACTTTCTTACCTCTGCATTCTTTCCCTGCCAACTTTCGCTGCACAAAATGAAGGCATTAATGTTAGTTTTTATGGATTCTCTGCCTCGTTGCTCGGTGTTTCCCGCCTTCAAGTGGGTTTTCTCGGGTTTCCCTTTCTTTTTTGCGTATCTCTCTTTGCCTTCAGGGCGGAGTGAACGAGAGAAAGTGAATCGCGTAAAGTATTTAAACCACCCGCCAAATGAAGCCAAAGCTAACAACTGGAAAATGGGGCGCTGCAGCTACTGTGGGCTCGCAGTAGTCCGGGGTCCTTCCGCGCTAAGTGCATTCAAATAATGGTAAGCTTCTCTCTGGTTAATCCTCTTTACTAGTCTCTTTCTCTGGCAGTCTCTTTCTCTTCCTGTGTGTCTCTATTTATCTCTCTCTGGGATTCCTTTGATGTGGGGCGCAGCCGTTAAGTAGAGTCCGTTGACCAGCTGCTGCAAGGATAATGATTGCCCCCCTCGAAATGAAATTGGGACTTGCTGTAGGGGGAAAAACCACCAGGAAATGCGATAAGTAAAGGGATTTTGATTAAATTGAGTTCTGTAAAGCTTCGAATTTGCTAAATATACATATGAATAATCTAATAGATTGAATGCATATTTGAGTGATCTGAGAACTGCAAAAGAGAATGAGTGAATGGTATATGGAGAGAGGATACACATCCGCAGCCAATCCAAATATCTCTTTAAATATTCTACACTTTTTCATCAATTCTGTTCCATTGTCCGCACTATTCACACTTTTCCCCCCTCTCAATTTCCTCTCTCTCTCTCTTTCTCTCTCTCGGAAGGGACAAAGTTGAGTCTTTCTTGTGGGGCCGAAACGATTAATATCTGACCCCAGGAACAGAACTGACAAATTCTTGCAATTAGGGGGAGAGAGGCAGACATCATTGGGGGTGGGTGTGTGCATGGTGCATGGTGCATGCCCTTTGACTCCACACATACTGCAGCACCTCTCCTTCCGCTCTTATGCCCCTCCTCACTGGTGGGAAGCTCTTGCAAATATTTGCGCGCAATTTTTCATATTAAACGACAGCGAGAGGCGGGAAAAGAGCATTGAAAATGGAAAATGGCTGTATCAGTGGTACAGCGGGAAGAGTGGTGTTGCCACAGGGGGTGGGGGGTGCGAACCGGAAATAAAAATTGCAGGAAAAGGGCTACAAAAACTCTGGGCAAACTGTGATCAATCTTTGGTGGCAGGAGAGAACGAAGTGGAGGATGGGGAGGACCACGAGAAGGCCCTCCTGCAGTTGCAACATATTTTGGAGGTCCCTCGGGGCACAGGACCTGCCATGTCCTTGTCAAAAATGGGATGGGGATGCAGGACCGCCAAGGATGAGAGATGAGGAGCAAGCAACAGGGAAGGAGAAGTCCAAAACTGGAGGAAAATTGCAACATATTTGCAATGGTCGCTAGGAGGCTCCTAAAGGGAAACCCTCCAGAGGGAAAGGGTAAGGAAAAGGGCAGAGAAAAGGACAGGCGAAAGGGCAGGGAAAGCAATTGCCCAAATGAATGAAGATGAAGCGGGTACAGGGTTTTGGCCAAACACTTGAACTGCCTGCCAAGGACTCGACTCTCGACTCGACTCTGGGACTCTGTGCCAAAAGATTGATTGGCCAGAGATGTCGTGTGGCCAGAGGGGAACGGGCGAGAGAGGTCCTGCCTGTCACTTCGCGCTTTGCTTGCCATCTGAGAGCCACTGTCCGCCGGGCACTTTTCTCTTCTTTTCACTCCGAAATTAGTTGGCCTGTCAAAAACTTAACGAGTCCAGAGGGTCTGTTCCATGATGATGAACGGGATAGGGATAGTAGGAGGACAAGTCCCCCGAAGCCAAAAGGCAATCATAGTGAGGCAGAGAGCAGGGGGGGGGGGCAGAAAAGTACAGAGAGAGAGGAGTACGAGAGTGAAAATATTTGCATCTTGTTTGTGGTTCTCTTGCAACTCATTTTGCATTCCATTTTGAACGGTAGACCCTTTAATAGAAAATGAAGTTGCAGGAATCTCAAACCAATCCAATGATGATGTCTGAAAAAATATGTATTGAAGACACTACGGAAAACGGTTTAAGTTTGGTTTAATTTTTTATCAGACTTGGTGCTATTTTTGAATCGTTTTAAGTCATTTCCGAATTGATTATGTCTGCGAGAACAATTTTACTTTCTTTGTACATATTCTCTGTTTAGAATCGATTATGAAACGGTTATACATACATATATATGTACATACATACATACATATGTATGAAACAGTTTAAGTTTAAGTTTAAGTTTGGGTATTCAATGAGTTTAGTAGCGTTCCGCCACTTGAACACCTTTTACAGGCAATCCCCTTGAGGTCGTACTGTTTCTATTAGCACTCCTCTTGCTCCCACCTCTCTTTCTCACCTGCTCAGCATATGCATTTTGCACCGTTTGTTTTCAACGCACGGGGTTGCTCTCATTGTTTTTTCTGCTTTTTCTCTTCAGTACTGTTTTTCTACTGCTGCTGCTGCTGCTTTGTTTTGCAATAAACACTTCTCACTTGTTCTTCTTCTCTTTTGCTTTCATCTGCTCTGAGTATTGCTCTGCCCCTGCTCTCTCCTTGCAAATTGCCCATTACCATTACTCTCTGCCCCCTGCCCCACCATCTGCTCGCTGCCACTACCAAACGACTTTGAAATAGTTTCTCTTATTTCATTCGCTTCATGGTCCGTCGTCCGTCCTCAACCTTTTTCAGTTTATGTGATTTTCTGTGCCTTTTCTATGCTTTTTGTTGTTTTTGTTGCTGGGCTTAAGCCTTGAGTATTTTGCAGTCATTTGAATTACCGTTCGTTGGCGCTACTATTCTATCTCTGTCTCGCTCTCTCACTGTCTTCTGGAGCTAGGAATAGTAGATGCTTTCTCTTGAGATGCCTATCTGTTGGAAAGATCTCTTCTCTTCGCGTCTCTAGCCTTAAATTAAAATAAAAATTGCTTACTATACAAATCTTATTATTTCGCCACATTCAATAAAACACTTTGTGTTTATTATTTCTCTCTCTCCAACTAATATTTACTCTACAGATTATGTGCTCCTTCCTCGCTGCGTTTCATTAACTTTGCTCTTAGCCACAACAAAAGTTGTTCTTTTCGGTTTTTGCTTTGTTTTCACTTTTCCACTTTTCCACTTTCCTCGTTTCGCTTTCCACTTTTCGGTCTTTTCGGATCAATCCCCAATTTGTAAAACACTTTCATCGTAAACAAAAACCGCGAATAAAGCTTACGGGCAGAAACGCTCCACTCCGCTCCGCCCGCTCTCTGGTTCATTGAATCTCTGTGTCGCACCGCTTGAGCTCTTGCCCTCTCCTCTGTCCGCACTCTCTTCTACCCTCTGCCCCTCTACTACAGTGTATGTCCGTTTTAATGGAAGCTTTTCAGCGCGTTCTTTGTCTTTTCCCCCCCACCTCTCTGTTTTCCGATGCAGATCAACTTTCGACCAAAAAACAAAACCAAAAAAAAAACTGTTAGAAAT